GCTAGAGAGCTACAGGGACAGTTTATTCAGTAATTGGTGGAGCCTTTTAAGAGCAGAAAGGAAACACTGAGCTGGGAATAGAATAATCCCATCACTCAAGAAGCTGAGGTAACACCATGAGTTAGGGTCTGCTTGACTTTTTAAAATTATATCAGCCTCTATTAAATTACTCTGATAAAGACTTGAATGTTGGAATAACCCCCAACTAGGGTATCAGAAGTTTGCCACTCTTTCATATTTAAAAAGAATTAATTCCTAAACCAAGATTAGAGTTCAGTTTGAGATAGTACATATGACTAACATTTTTTGTTGCAAATTTCAATTTCTCTTTGTGCTGGTTTAAATGAGAATGGCCTCCATGGGCTCATAGATTTGAATGCTTGGTCATCAGGCAGTGGTACAGTTTGAAAGGATTAGGAGGTGTGGCCTTGTTGGAGGAGGTGTGTTACTGAGAGTGGGCTTTAAGGTTTCAAAAACCCCATTCCAAGCCAGATGGCTATCTCTTCCTGATGCCTGTGGGTTCAGATGTAGAGCTCTCAGCTCCTTCTCCAGCACCATGTCTGCCTGCAGGCTGCCATGCTTCCTGCCATGATGACAATGGACTAAACCTCTGACACTGTAAGCCAGCCAGCCTCATTTAAAAGCTTTCCTTTATAAGAGTTGCTGTGGTGCCGGTGTCTCTTACAACAATAAACACTAAGACAGAAGTTGGTACCAGAGAGTGGAGTATTACTGTGACAGTCCTGACTGTGCTGTTTGTTGCTAGAATATCGACTGTGAGACTTTGAACCAGAAAAGCAGTTGAACGCTTTAAGTGGTGCTTTATGGATCATACTACTATGAGTATGGGGGACAAAGCTGTTGAGAGTAATGTAGATTAGGACAGCCTAGCTCAAGAGGTATCAGAGGAGAAAAATATTAATATGTGGCCTAAAGACCAATGTTGTGGTATTTTGATGAAGAATGTGGCTTTGTGCCCTTGTCCAAAAAAAGTCTGCCTGAGGCTAAATTGAAAAGTTTTGAATTAATGGTGTTGGCAGAGGAGATTTCAAAACAACCTAGCATTGACTCTGTTGTGTGGTTATTAGTGGTTAGTCTTATGCAGATCTATAATGAAAAGGAGCAAACTGAGCAAGAAAATATTTTAAAATGTACAATATAAGGGAAAAAGGAGCACCTGGAACTGTAATGGCACCAAGTCCAGTGCTCAAAGAGATTTTTAAAAAGTTTCAAGAAAAGTCTCATGCTAAATGGGGTGGTGAGCATAGGGCAAGACCCCATCCAGCTAAGCTGCCAAATTGTGAAAAGGAATTAAAGAAAAGGCTTAATTAAACCAGTGGTTCTCAACCTATGGGTCACGACTCCTTTGGGGGTCAAATGAATCTTTCACAGGGGTTGCCTAAAACCATCAGAAAACACAGATGTTTATACTACAATTAATAACAGAAGAAAAATTACAGTTGTGAAATAGCAACAAAATAGTTTTATAGTTGGGGTCTGCACAACATGAGGAACTATATTAAAGGGTTGCAGCATTAGGAAGGTTGGGAACCACTGACTTAAGTTGTGAAGAAAGCTGATGTAATTGAAAGAGGAAGCAAGTCCCAGCCCCAGCAAGCAGCACAATACAGCAGGCTGCCATCGAGGGTGGTGTGGGAACACTCAAGACAACTCTGAAGCCAGAGAATGGTGCTGGACCAGTGTGACGTCAAGATCAGCTCCCGGAAGAGATGGCACCCACGTGCACTCCGTAGTGCACTGCCAGCGTGTTTTATGTACAGGCGTCCAGTACATTACACGAGCTCATCAGTACTTTATCACAAAGTAAGCTTGAGTTAGATGGCTTTGGCCAACTGTAGGTTATCCTAAGTATTCAGAGCATGTATAAGGTAGGTCAGGCTAAGCTGTGATGCCCAGTTATATGTATTAAATACTCTTCCAACTTAGGTTCTGTTTATCAAGATTACACCTGTGGGAAGTTGAGGGGTTTCTCTAAGGATTATATGCCAGGACTAAGAGATGCACAGTTCAGGAAGATGGTGTATCATCTTAATGGGATGACGCATGGGGCATAAAGAAACTGTAATCATCTCAGTAAGTGCAAAGAAAGCATCTGATAAAATCCAACACCCTGTCCTGATTAATGAGAAAAGGCAGCCAACTGTCTAGAAATGGGTGGGATCTTACTCAGCCTGGGTATAGGGTGTGTTCCCCTAAGATCAAGGACAAGAAAATTAATTTTTTAAAAATTACTTCTGCTTGGTATGTTACTAGGAATTCTTCTCAGTGTGTTTTGGCCCGCAAAAGCAATGAAGGGAATCTAGATCCGAAATTCTCTGTCAGATGATGCAGATTGCATACACATAAAATCCACACACAGAAATCTGTTGGAAGCAATAACAGGTTTAGCAGGGTTATAGGATATTGAAATTAGTGCATAAGGTCTTGTGTTTCTGCTAACAATGTGTGGTGCTAAACTTAAAACTAAAGCATGTTTACTAATATCCAAAGATTAAAATCCACAGGAATACATGTAACAAAAGTATGTGAAGTAAAAGTTAAAAGAAGAAAGTGTTAAATAGACAGGTCCTACTAAGTAAGCAAAAGCTAACCCACGCTCAGGGGTTGACGTGCCCAATCTGTTAAATGCTAGCATTCTGGAAACTGATCACACACTTGGATCAGTAACTAGTAAATATGATCTCCATTTTTAAAGAAAAAAAAGATCAACAAGTTGGTTCAGAAATTTGTGTGACATTTCAGGGGAACCAGAGCAGCTGAAACAAGTATTGAAATAGATGGATCAAGTTGAAAGACTCATACTTCCTGACCTCTGAACTTGCTACAAAGCTACAGTCATCCGCACTCTGCATAAGACTAGATGCAGCTTGGTAGTAAAGCAGTTGCCCAGTACAGACAAATGCCTGCTTTCAGTCTTTAGCACCAAAACCAAACCAAACCAAACCAAACCAAACCAAACAAACAAATAGCATCCAACTATAACCCTATCTGTCTGTGTATCTATGTATCTATCTAATCATCTGTCTACCTGTCACAATCAGAATTTACTTAGCAATATAAAAATGGTAGCATAACAATAGTAGGAATCTTAAATCTAAAAATAGTAATATAAAAAAGTAGATGAAGGGAAAGTCAAAATTGAAAGCATGAATGTACTAATCTCAGCATCTGTACAGTGTGTCATTACCATATAAGCTGAGATATGTAGGCTAAAAAAAATTATCTCCCCTTCACCCTTGCATGCATATAGTTTTTATCCACACATACTAATGTACCTATAGATACAGTAAATTTAGTATTTAACTTTGAGGAGATTTTTAATGAATCACATGAACAAAATTATTTTTCTGGGGCTGGAGATATAGTTTGGTAGTAGAGCACTTGCCTAGCCTATGTAAAAGCTGAGCTCAATCCCCACTACCAGGAAAAATAATTCTGAGTCTATGAGTACTTCAATTATACTTTAATTATTTTTTTAAGATTAACTAAATTTCATGTATTGGCTTAAATTAAAAGCTGGAATTTATCAGATGGCCTCCTTTTTGTAAAGTGATTTTGTCTTTACTTAATACTAACATGCACAGAAATGTCTAGATTGTCATCCAGCAGATGTTACATGGGTGATTACTTTGTGGTAAAACTGTGAGGCAGTTTTTAATTCCTTTTGTACTGTTCTGAATTACTTTTACTTTTGAATAATATACGATTTGAAAAGTAAAGGGCATTGCCAAGAGAACATGAAAAGTGATCTGGAAAGCTTCAGTGTTGGACCTCCAAGTTGCGTACTTGCTAAATGAACTTAGAAGGCAGAACAAGACCAAGATTAGAAATTAAATTGGGAAGCTGTTCACGTCCCAGTGAGTTTTGAAGCTCATAGAAATGGATGCTATCATCTCAAGATAGACATACGAGAGGATGGGAAAGAGCCTAGGGTGTGACTCCGCATCTCCAACGCCTGACACAAGGAGGAGCCTGCAATGGAGGGAGATGCTTGTCTCTGGAGGAAGGAGTACCACAGAGCCAGGGACATTTGATAAGGTGCTGGCATGTTGTGTAGATGGGACCAACTGGGTTTTGTTCTCTAACAGTGGGTTCACCACGTAGCCCGTTCTTTCCTCTGTGCCTGAAGGAAAGTTTGTAAGTTAGAGAGCCCGCAATTGCTTCATGTATTCTTGGAGAGTAATTTCAAAACCTTCAGCATATTTGGCTTTGGGTCTTTTAAGGAGTTGCTCACTTCCAGAGACTGAGCAGCATGTTTGCATGTGTGTTTTTAAGTGTGCCACGGGTCTGATTCCCTCTGAGAAATGCTCTGTTGGACTCCTGAGTTTAACTACTGAGAGTTGCTGCTGTGTGTTTACAGCTCACTCTAAATTCAGCTTGCAAGTCTTTCACCTGAGGAGTTGGCAGGTTTTTTTTCTGTTCTGATTTTTTCAGAACCAAAGATTTAAATCTTTTCAACCTGGTTATCCATGGCATAGGCCATGCTTAGGGAGAGAGGGTTATTTCTTCAACTCTTTGAGGGTTGCTGAGTACCACTCAGCCTCCTGGCTTGAGTGAGCCCTGCAGCCTGGTGAGTTTGTCTTCTGGCGGATTCCAAATTTAGTGCCAGTTGTGTCACTTGTTGGCTGGAGGAGTAAGTCAGCCTGCCTGACCAGAGCCAGTGGTAGACAGTGACTTTCTGCTTTTTGCTGGGACATGGTTCTCCTTCACTCACCCTCGCTGGCAATGTCTTGGCATTTAGCAGAGACTCCATGTTTGATGGTTCTGCTGGCACCATGCTCTGAGCTCCCAGGGTCAGCATGCTACAAGGCTTCCCCGGGACAGAAGTCATCCTCTGCTGCTAATGCTTGCACGCGGAGACTACACCTGTCTTTGCCAGAGGAAGTTGGTTGTTCAAGTCTTACACTGTGTTTGGAGCTAGGGTTTGAAGGAAGTAGTGATCTGTATTTGATTAGTTTTCCAATTCTCTCCCCTTCTAGGTAATACTAACTAATATTCAGAACAGAAGCCCTAAGCCTGGCCCTGCTCCCCACGATCAAGAACTAGGCTTTTTCCTAGAAACAGGACTTCAGAGAGCCCATGTCCTCTATTTCAAAAATGGGTAAGCTTTCTTTGTTGTCATTGCTTTAAATGCACTTCCTGAGAAGGAAAATAGTCTTTGAATACGCTGTCTCTGGCTCAACTGTTAGAACAAGGTGACTTTAAATATGAATTACAGAACTGGGGGATGGCTCAGCAGCTAAAGCGCTGACCCCACAAGCAGGAGGACCCAAATCTACATACAACCCAGGCATGGCAGGCAGACTTGCCTGCAATCTCCGTGCTAGGAGTGGAGACAGGTGGATCCCAGGGACTAGCTTGGCAAGCTAGTCTAGACATACACACAAACACACACACACACACACATACACAAACACACACAGGAATGCACACGTGTTCTTTGCTACAATTGCAATGTTTTATAAAGAGAAAGAGCATTGATTCCTCTTGTGTCCTCTCTATCTCTCTTTACTTCCTATGAGGTTTAAAGGTGGGAGAGGAGGGAGGAAGACACTTGGGTGAGTATGAACTCCAAATAGGGAACTCCAAGACAGGGCTAGTGGCACTGGTGGAGCCATGTCTGGGATGCCCTTTCTCCATGTAAATGACACTGCCTCTCCACTTCGTCCAGGGAAGCCCAGCACACAGAACCCTTTCCATATCAGAACAGTTCAGAAAACTGAATTTTCCAAGCCCAAGAATTGTATGCACCATCAGGACCTTTTCTCCTCAGATAGCCTTTGAGAGGGTTAGAAGGGCTGCAGAACATGGATGGAAAGGATGGCTCTCTCAGGCATTGACATGTTTTCCTTTTGTGTTGTTCTTGTGAGAAACGTGCTGATTCTGTTCCATATTCTTCAGTTGTTCTTGTTTTGACATTGTGCTGCAGGATAGATGTGCATGAAGACCAACAGTAGGTATCTGGTTTCTCTGTAGCTCTCCCAGGCTTTGCCCCCTTCCTCTAGAAGCTGTAGTCCAGTAGCGCTTTGAATGACAGAAGGGACACAAGTCTCTGCTCTGACCCAGTGAACACCGGGGCTCTCTCTCCCCTCAAGCGCTTTAGGCCTTGAGGCGTAGCCCTCAGAACGGTCTGCCCGCAGCTTGCTGCTACATGTACCCATTTTGTACTTGTTGAAAATTAATTCTTAGATTCCAAATCCTCCTAAACTATCTGAGAAGAAAGGCCCCTTTGCTCCCAAAGTTCACTGGTTCAGCTCAGCATGGCCTGCCAAAGACCACAACAACATCCCGAGGTTTGGGTAGCCTGGTGGCTTTGGCACAGAGAGCTCTCACATCTGATCTCATCTGCCACTGACTGAGATCATCTGAGCAATGACGCATGTCCTCCTGTCTGACTGTTTTCTCTGCTTCTGTAAATGGAGGGAGAGGGAGGGAAAAGGAGATGTTTTTCCCGTTATCTGTTTCTTTTCCTTTTCACAATAAATGGTGGCTATCGCACAGAAACGCCAATCCGTGCCTTCTTTATCTCTAACCTGTGTGTGGGGCTCTGCTGATATGGAAGTCCAGAGGGAGAAATCAGTTCTAATGGGGAACCCAGAGGCCAAGTCAGTACCTTCTACAGGAAACAGCTTCTGTGAGAGTGACCGTGTGGGCTGGAAAGCTCATTTTGATTGTTGAAGCCTGTTTTGGGGAGGTGGGTTGGAAGCAGGACTGTTGGGCTCTGACCTTACCCTCAGGAATGCTGGCCATTCACTGGGATCAACTAGAACATAGTTACGAGAGGTTTGCATGGGTCACATCCTTTGGATTGCTTTCTGACTCATTTCCAGTGCATTTTCCTTTACCAAGGTTTGAGGACGTGCCCTTTGACACAGCCATCTGGGCCTGCTTGCCTTTGAAGCCTTTCTTCTTCTTTCCTTGTGCTCTCACACTTCTCTGTCCTCTACAGACCAGGGCTCCCATCTGCTGTGCTCCAAGTCTGGGAGCTGTGGGAGCTTGTGGGAGCTGCTAATAATGTGGAGGTGGGAGTCCATGTTGAAGCCTCAAAACATTTTCAGACATTCCAAGTGCCCGAGGATGCCTGACTCATATTGGTGGGTTTCTCAGGGCTTCAGGGCCACTGAGATGGTCAGCTCTCACTGGATAGTGCGCATCATGGAGGAGCTGCTGGCCTGTGCTCCAGGGCTTCCTGCACTCCGTCTTTCAGTGTACTGCTTTTTGTCATCTCTCTTTTTTCAGCATGGATGAACAGAGTGATTTTCAGTTATAAGAAAATCCAATATAGATGAGTTTGATAGTAAGAGGTAGAAATAGATAAAACACCCTAGAAGTCAAATGCATACTTAGTGTTTGGGTTATTCTTACCTACTCGCTGAGTTAGGGGAATGAATCTACTTTTTATGATTTCCCATCTTTCCAGGAGTGACTACCGAACTAGTGTCTTGGAGTGTCTTCCCGAGAGCCCGAGACCAGGATCTGCTCTCGGCCCTGCTGATGTCTAATGCTGCCCAACTACCTTGACTTTGTATCCCTTCACCCTCACAACCCTGTTTCACCCGCCTCCGCTGCCGCCCTGGAGCCTCTTTCCCCCTCCGCCTCCTTTTGGTGGTGTTTTTCTTTCCCTTCCCTCCCCCAGTCACCTTCCAGGCTTCTGTCACTCCCAGCCTTTATGTCCCAGGAGTCCTTGGCTATCGATGGACTTAGAACGAACTCACCTATCTTTCACATATGTTTTCTAAGATCCCTGAGCAGCAGCCACAAGTCTAATAAGAGTGAAAACATGAAGCTGGAGAGATGGCTCAGTGGTTAAGAGCATTGGCAATTCTTTTGGAGGAGCCAGGTTCAGTTCCCAGCATCCACATGGGAGCTCACAACTATCTGTAACTCAAGTTCCAGTAGAACTGACTCCCTCACACAGGCATACATGTAGGCCAATCACCAAATGGCAATAAAAAATAAATTTAAAAAGGAATGAACACTTTATCAACTGTCTACAGTGGTGCATTCTTGTAACCAGCTTCAGGAGACTGGATGGAGTAGGAAGATGTTCAAAGACAGCCTGAACAACTTAGTGCAGTCCTGTCTGAAAATTAAAGGTCTGAGCTGTGACTCAACAGTGTGATAGGTGCAGCAAACCTGGGTTCAACCCCACCCAAACATTATCTGCCTGCCTGTCTGTCTATTTCCGCTGACTTAGCAGCAAAAAGTGTGATGAGATTTAGGCTGTCAGTTGAAGTGGTGGCTCATAGAAGGCAGGCATCATTTGGTTGCTGGGCTCCGTGGGTCAGGGCTTGGAGCTGGACATTCACATGTAATGGCTGTTCTGGGAAGGTCACTTTTCATTGACGTTTCTAGGGAAGCAGCTACAGCTGACTGGTCTTCCTGTGGGAGAGCAGAGTCCTCGCTGGACAGCACAGCCCGTGGCAGAGAATGGTCTCATCCTGTCAGCCTTCCCAGGGAGATGTAACTTCCCTACTTGAGTCACTGCACAGGGCTAGAATCACTGGAGAAGATTGGCTTGGCAGGGGCTGGTGGGCTGGTGGGGTGGGCATCCACTACATTTTGCTTCAGGCTATTCAACCGTCTACTGTAAACCAGGGCAGCAAAGGGTGTTTCAGGTACCTTTGCTTTTGTTAGCCATGTCAGGTCTCCCCTGCTTCTGAATCAGTTTAAGCAGGGAGGGTAAGCATTGGTTGATGTGAAGAGGCAAATGTGTCTTGGCACTTGGGAGACAGGCCTGTTAGATTTTACCATTGGCTAAGGTACATCACATTCTGCATGGGAGGCTCTTACTCAAAGGAAACAGCATGGATGAAACAGATTGGGGGCTCCCCTGAGGTGCTTACAAGTTATGCAAGAGCTTTTGGAGTTCTGTTTCATAGAAAACAGAGCATTAGTCTCTATTATGGTTTAATGTTCTCAGATAATCTTGTTGACCTTTGCAAAGCTCAGCCCAGTGTCATCTCAATATAGAAGGCAGAAAAAAGGCATCAGGCTAGACAGGGTGGGGACAGGGAGAGAATGAGATGAGGAAAAAGGGAAACCGGAAGCTTGCCCTTGAACCTGTATGTGACGTGCACCCTGAGGGGCAGCTTCAGCCAGGAAAGTGGACAAACGGACGGGGCCCAAATTGAGTCATAAAGCTTTAGTTTTGACATGTTGATAACACTTAAAGCCAGCGGCAGTGAAATCAACAAGAACACCTGGTAGAGGAGCCAACAGAGGCCAGAGGGGAGCAGTGAGGGTGCGCTCTGGGAGAGCCAGGGGAGCAGTGAGGGCGCGCTCTGGGAGAGCCGGGGGAGCAGTGAGGGCGCGCTCTGGGAGAGCCGGGGGAACAGTGAGGGTGCGCTCTGGGAGAGCCGGGGAGCAGTGACCTGCTGACTGTAACTGAGCACTTTGGAAGGAAGAGCAAAGGCTGAGCCCTGGGTTAGCTAACAGATGGTACTGTGGCCTTGAAAAGACCAGGTGAAGGGCAAGAGCAGAGGCTGGACTGGAGAAAGCCAGTGACCTCGTTCAGCCAGCCTCTCCCTTAACACTTAGAATTCTGCTGGCAGGGTGGGTGGTAGAGAGATGGTGGGAGATCAAAGGCCAGGCGTATTTCTTACTGTTGTCTTGCTGTGATAAACCCCATGACCAAGAGCAACTTCCAGAAGGAAGGGTTTCCAGAGGGAAAGTCTGTAATGTAAGGGAGGCATGGCCGCTCCGGGTAGCTGGAGCAGGGCACTGAGAGGTCACACCTGTACCCCAGGCCTGAGAGCGCAGGGAGAGCTGGAAGCAGCATGCAGCTGTAAGCTTTCAAAGTCCTATCTCAGTGACATGCTTCCTCCAGCAAGGCTCTGCCTCCTACAGGTTCCCTGACCTCCACAGATGGCACCACCAGCTGGGGACCAAGTTCAAGCACATGAGTCTGTGAGAGACAGTTCTTGTTTAAACATCATGCCAGGCTAAGGAATAGGCTTGGAGAAGCTGTTGAATCATGAAAGTGGGGTGCTGGGAAGTTCATTTGGTAAGAGTCTGCTGCCAACAGACCCATGCCCCCCATTCCAGTTGGACCTGGTTTGTTTCATGTGGGTTTGTGGCTTCCAGCTTCGTCCTGCTTCC